TGACCATACCGTCAACCAGCCCGACCAACTCCTGCCAAACGCCAACAAATATATCGGGCGAGCTAGCAAGGTGAGCTGGCCGCAGACAAAGCACATCGCACTCATTCCCGTCATCTCCATTCAAAGGCGGCGGCAAGCGAAGCGGAGCAGTCTTTCGCAAGACCACCAGAAGTGCGAAACCGAACAAGGACGAGTCCGGGGCGCACTGCCGGGGTCATCAGGCAGTTCGCAAAGCTTGAGACAAAACGCCAGCTGCACAGCGAGACCCTGCCAAAACCTAGACTGCCGCTTAGGAACCACCTGCTTAGGAACCATAAGGCATTCCTGTGCGCGCGAAAGCTGTCCCCCACCTGCGCGCTGCCAGACGCCGCTAGCTTCCATGCCCTGTCGGCGACAGGCCTCGAGCTCAACCGCTAGGCTCAAATTGCTGAACCAATCCTGCTGGTCCTGCGCCAGACCCAAATGGTCACGGCTCAGCGCGCACCGGCCATCCATCGCAAGGCTGCGTTGATGAACCTGCACTGAAACCTCGGACTTTCAAGGGTAATCGTGCGCTCCTGGGAATCCTGGACGCAGCGCGGCCAGGGCCCCGGGGGCGGCGCAAAATTGAAACAACTCGCCGAACAAATGCCACGCGAAGCCGAAACATCCTGCCCGTGGGAAGACACCGCCAGCTGGAAATGCTCACTCACTAACATGTCATCAGTGAGGCCCGCGCGTTCTGCTACTATACACGTGTAAGAGACACCTGGCATCTCCACCGGCCCACACTCGAGGCGCTTGTGAAATCCCGTCGAATCTTTGGCCTCCACGCGCAACTGGCATGTCGCGGTTACCGCGGACTGCAACAGGGCCGCCAGCGACAAACAGCACAGGAACTCACTGGGAAGCCTGATGACCGAAAGAGCGCTTTCTGTGGTCATTGGAGGGGGGGGTTGGAACCGGACCCCCCCCACCAGATGGAGGGGGAGGGGGGGTTCGAACCCCCCCACCTCCCCCCCCTCCCGTGACGGAGGGGGGGGGTCACCCCCCCCCCCCGTGCTTCCCCTCTCCTCGGGCCGGCGCTTGCGTCGGCGGCGGCTGGCGACGGCGGCGGGGAAGACGATTTCCATTTCTGGGCTGGCGCCGGCCGGCGCCTGCGGCGGCGGGCGGCGGTGGCGGGGAGCGTCGACGGGGACGGTGGTGGTGGTGGTGGTGGTGGGTTGTGGTGGTGGTGGTTGCGGTGGTGGTGGTTGTGGTGGTGGTGGTGGTGTGGTGAGTTGTTGTGGTGGTGGTGGTTGTGGCGGTGTTTGGTGGTGGTGGTGGTTTGGTGGTGGTGTGGTGGTGGTTTGTGGTGGTTTGGTGGGTTGTGGTGGTGGTGGTTTGGTGGTGGTGTGGTGGTGGTTTGTGGTGGTGGTGGTGGTGGTGGTCGGTTGTGGTTGTGGCGGTGGTTTGTGGAAGTGGTGCTGGTGGTGGTGGTGGCGGTGGTGGTGGTGTGGTGGTTTGTGGCGGTGCTGGTGGTGGTGGAGTGTGCTGCTGGTAGTGGTGGTGGCGGCGGCGGTGGTCGTGGTGGTGTGGTAGATGTGGTGGTGGTGGTAGTGGTGGTGGGTGCTTGTTGTGGTAGTGGTGATGGTGAGTTGTGGTGGTGGTTGTGGTGGTGTGGTGGTGGTGTGGTGGTGGTTTGTGGTGGTGGTGGTGGTAGTGGATTGTGGTGGTGGCGGTGGTTAATAGACGTTTGTTGTGGTGATGGTGGTGCTAGTGTGGTGGTGGTTTGTGGTGGTGACGGTGGGTTGTGCTGCTGGTAGTGATTGTGGCGGTCGTGGTGGTGGTGTCGTGGTGTGGTTGATTGTGGCGGTGGTGGTAGTGGTGGTGGGTTTTTGTGGTGGTGGTGGTGGTGATGGTGAGTTGTGGTGGTGGTTGTGGTGGTTGTGGTGGTGGTGGTGGTTGCTGTGGTGGTGGCTGTGGTGGTGGTGGTGGTTGTGTGCGGTGCTGTTGGTGGTGGTAGTGGTGGTGGTGGTGGAGGTGGTAGTGGTGGTAATCGTCGCTGCGTCCCCGCCGTCGCCGGCGCCAGCGCTGGCGCTGCAGGCCGCCGCCAGCGCTGGCGCCGGCGCGAGGGGGGGGGGTTTGGCCCCCCCCCCCCCGGCGCCGAGGGGGGCGGGGGGGGGTTGAACTCGCCCCCCCCGAGGTACATGTGGTCATCGTCGCTGCGTCCCCGCGGTGGGCGTTGCTGGCGGCCGCCAGCGCCGGGCGCCGCCGAGGGGCGGGTCGGGGGTTTTGAACCCCCCCCCTCCCTGGGGGGGGTGGGTTCGGGAGGGGGAGGGGTGGGGGGGAGAGGAGCCCCCCTGGTTTTGATCGACGGCGCGAGTGTTGGGAGGGGGGGCCCACCCCCTGGTTTGAAGCGCGCCGCCGAATGTTCCGAAGGCAAGCGCCCGTGAAACGCGTTCTCTCTGATGTCCGGACCCTTAGCCGAACAGTGCATAGGAGCCGCCGGCTAGTTGGCTTTCGGCGTTTCCAGGAGGAGTGGGATATGAGACTGGAGCGAGCAGCGACAGTCACCACTGCAGAGGTCCCCCCTGCCTGCGTGACGTAACCCTTCTGTGCAACGACCCTCAAACCTGCACAATGCAACTTTCTAGGCAAGGGCTGATCGCCCGCACTTCTCATGCAAAGCTTCGTCAACAGAACCGCATGGACATGTTGGACACTGGTGCCTGAAGAGAGGGCATGACTGATGGGCCCTTCCTCGGGTGAGACGCGTCCGACGATGCACCGTGCTGCTCGCGCTGCGCCATCGCCGCTCGCGGGCAGCCAGCGCTGCACTGACTGCCCTTGCCGCAGGGACTGCAGCGCGAGCTGGCGAAGACGCTCCTCCGCCCCTGCCTCCGGGCGTGGGGGCAGGCCAGGACGACGCTCAGGCAGAGCACCGTCCGAGCCCTCTCTCTCGGGGGGAACGAAAGGGGGGGATAGCAAAGGGTAGGGTGGATAATCAGCTCACGTGGCTGATTTTTCCAGCGCGTCCCGGCGCCGGGAGGCGCCCATGTATAGAGGAATGGACCCGGCGGCGGGGCCCAAACCAGCTGCATGCAGCAGATTCTGTGACCCCCCCCTTTCCCTGTCCCCCCCTTTCGTTCGGCCCGACTCTCCCCCTGACTACCTACCAGACCACCCCAACCCAACCCGAAGACCCGAATTTCGGGTTGGGGGGGGGTACGGGTTCCATATGTTTTTGACATGTTCCCCGACCCCCCCCCCCTCTAAAAATGCAGGGCAAATCAAGACCTTCGGGCTACGTTAAGGATGTCTGGTGAGCGGTAACCCACCGAGGCCACGGGCCCGCAGCGCCCGCGGCGCCCGAAGTCCCCGATGCACAACTCGCCGGAGCATCTCCATCCGCACCCTGCGCGGAGGCAACTTGCGCCTCTTAGCTGGTCGTTCTTTGACACGCTCTGCACAGGCCTCGCGGTGTTGATTGGCCGTGGCTGCAATTTCAATCAAAACTGCCCTGAAGTGCTCCTTGTGTCGTCCACCTGCTCCGCCTCGAAAGTGCGGAAACAAGTACCATGCCCCTTCAAGATCAAGAATCTCTCCGAACTCAAATTTGGTGTCAGGATCGCAACCGTCCTCTACTGGCACATGGTTCAAATTGAGGACAATCTCGTTCTTCTAGGCCTTCGGCAGCACCCTTGTGACAACGCGCGGTGCTGTTTGAGCCGCTGCGCCCCCGCCTTTTGCTCAACAAGGAGGCACCCCTCAATTCGAAGGTCAGCCGCCTCCACATGCTTCCCCACCCGAAGGCGAGCGTCTAGAGCTGCATGGAGAGCTCGACTGGCTTGACGTTTGGCGACCTCCGCCGCCAAGTATTCAGCCTAAGGCAACTGAATATTACGAAATCGGTATGGAGCCAGGCGCTCCTCTCACGCTTCTCTGTCTGGCAGCGTGGGTACGATCTGGCAGCTTGCCCATGGACTCAGGCGGGATGGCGCGTGCAGTTCTGGCGGGGGCTCCCCCACGGGCTGGTTGAAAGTCAGGCTTCTTCGGGCAGGGCACAAATCCTTGGCCGCTGCTTCCTGCTGTGACGACCAACCTCGGCACGAATGCGACCCTCAACGAGCAGCCAACCTTTTTCCCGCGTCGTCGAAAAGCTCGGCGAAACGGACATGGCGTGCGATTCGTGCCATCTGAGGCACCATTAACGAAGATATCAAACATGGAACGGACGAGCCCAGCTTGAAAGCGGCCCCGCTGGGAAAAGTGGGTGCAAGCACCGCGCATCCTCCCCTTGAGCCAAAACGACTTGAGCCAGGGAGATTTATCCAAGGATTAACCCAAGCGGACTCATTCGGGCCACGCTGCATCAGGAGGACATCATTCGAGTGGCATGCCTTCTGAAAGACGCTGGAGGACCAGAGCCCCCATCTTGGTTGGGGGCTCGCCTACCGCACACTTTCACACCGTCCACCAGTAGATGGAGGAGATGAAAGAGGAGGAGGAGGAGGAGGAGGAGGAGGAGGAGAAGTAGAAGGAGAAGGAGGGAGAAAGAGGAGATGAATGAGGAGGAGGAGAAAGAGGAGGAGGAGGAGGAGAGGAGGAGGAGGAGGAGAAGGAGGAGGAGGAATAGGAGGAGGAGTAGGAGGAGGAGGAGCGGAAGAGGAGGACTGGGAGGATGAGGATGAGGAGGAGGAGGAGGCGGAGGAGGAGGAAGAGGAGGAGAGGGAGGAGGAGCATGAGCAGCAGGAGGAGGAGAAGGAGAAGAAGGAGGAGGAGGACGGGGAGAAGCAGGAGGAGGGGAAGGAGGAGGAGAAGGAGGAGAGGGAAAGGGGGAGGAGAGAGAGGAGGAGGAGGAGGAAGAGGAGGTGGAGGGGGAGGAGGAGCAGGAGGAGGAGGAAGAGGAGGTGGAGGAGGAGGAGGAGCAGGAGGAGGAGGAGGGAGAAGCAGGATGAGGATGAGGATGAGGAGGAGGAGGAGGAGGAGGAGGAGGAGCGCGCAGCCCCCTCCCGTCTGCCGCAGCTCAGGGCGGGGGCCTCTGGCATCCTCCTCTGGCGAGACGCCCGCCGAGCGCTCGCCAGCGCTGGAGCCGCCGCCGCTGCCGCTGTCGCTGCTCGTGTCGCTGGAGGCACGGGCGGCGTCGTCGGCGCCACACGGGCTCCTCCAGGGGCGCGCGCCCCGCAGGACGGAGCCTCTCTCTCTTCCGCCTGGTTCCTGGTTCGTGATCTCCGCCTCCTCGTCCTCCTCCTCCTCCTCGTTCTCCTCCTCGTCCTCGTCCTCGTCCTAATCTTCCTCGTCCCCCTCCTTCTCCTCCTTCTCCCTCCTCCTCCTCCTCCTCCTCCTCTTCCTCTTCCTCCTCTTCCCCCCCTCCTCCACCACGCCCCCCTCCTCCTCCTCCTGCTCCTCCTCCTCCTCCTCCTCTTCTTCTCCTCCACCTCGTTCCCCCCTCTCTCTCTCTCTCCTCATCATCATCCGTCTCCCTTCTGCTCCAACGCCTCCCCCTTCTCAACAGTATCCCTCATTTCTTCCTTCTCCTCCATCTGCTCCACCTCCTCCTCCTCCTCCTCCTACCCCTCCTCCGCGCAAAGTCTTTGTCCATCCGCTGCCATCCCCGCGGCGAACGCGCGCGACCAGAGAACGCGGAGGAGGTTGGGGAAGCAGGGAGAAGTAGGAGGAGGCGGAGGAGGAGGAGGAGGAGGGGACGGTGTAGGAGGAGAAGATGGAGGGGGGACGAGTGCGCAGGCAAGACGAAGGCACGATGAAGACACACTGAGATGAGGAGATATCGAAATCTCTGAGTGTTGGCGGGTCTGGAGGATGAATTTTGCGCCGCGGTCGTTCCAGAGCGCTCTGGAACGCTTCGAGAGGAATCGGGAACGGTCAGGAGCGATTTATCATCATCTAAGCCTGCCTGACGATCTGTCGCCGCTTCTCGGTTGCGCGCGCTCCGCCTTGACTTCTGCTCCAATACAGTTCGGCAGCCGCATAGTCCCCAGGAGAGGAAAATGAGGAGGGAGGGGGAGGTGAGGAGGAGGGAGGGGAGAAGGGAGGAGGAGAAAGAGGAGGAGGAAGAGGAGGTGGAGGAAAGAAGTGGATGAGTACGATGCAGCGCCAGGGCCGGCGCCGGAGGTGCCGCCAGGGGGGTCAGGCACCGATCCAAGAAATCCGCGCGGATCTCGGAGTTGTTGTGTTGTTGCAGTCAACCTCCAGGGCGGATCCGAATCCTCGCGGATCCGAGTCCGCGCGGATCTCCGAGGCTCTTCGGGCGTGGGCTGGCCATCGAAAGTGGTTGAGAATGGAACGAAGATGACCGAAGAGGCAAGGATGCAAGGGTATCCTTGGGAAGTCGATTCGGCGGTGGACAAGCCTCCCTTTAGCAAACCGACCATTAGGGAAAACGGCCTAAGACCGAAAGCGACGCACCTGGACCCGCAAAAATGAAGGCCGCGACGCCCTCTCGCGAACCGAAAACAGCCAATTCGCTAATCGACGCGTCAGGGTAGGAGGTGTATCGACCTGCGATCGATCATCAATCTTATGCAGGTTGGCTGTATGTCCACGCTCTTCGCACGTTCGCCGCCCGTGACGAATGCTGGCCTCTCCCCATCTAGGGCTCCTAACTTCGCGCTTCGCGCTGCGCGAAGCGCGAAGCGCGAATAACTTCGCGCTCTCGCGCCGCCCTCCCAAAGGGAGAATAGGAGGACGAGGAGGAGGGGGAGAAGGAACGAGGACCGCGAAGCGCGAATAACTTCGCGCCCTCGAGGGAGCCCTTGCCCCATGCTCGCTGCAGCCCCCTCTCCGGCACGCGTCCTCGGCTCCGACGCGTGCCTGGAGGCGGTGCCGGAAGCCTGCCGGAGCACCAGCGCGGCGGCCTCTCCGGGGGGTGGGGTGCACTGCGGGGGAGTGCTTCTTGGATCGGGGAGACGTAAGACCCGGGTACGGGGGACTCGGAAATCCCCGACGAGGTCGTCAAAAAAACGACGAGGCCGAGCCTGCATTTTGACGAGGCCTCCCGCTGCAGACATCCCACAAAACTCCTCCTCGTCAAAATCCGAGTCGGAGTCGTCAAAAAAAAAATGGCGAACCCGAGTCCCGGCAAACCCGGGTCTTACGCTCCCCCGATCTTGGAGTGTGCAAGCGGACCGTCGTCCGTTCGTGTTTATGCAGTTGCTTCTTCTTCGAGCGCAGCGGCATCGGTGCCGCTTCCTCCTCGGATCCTGGAGCGCACACCCCCGACGTCTGCCTCCGGCTCCCCGACACCCCTCGTGAGGGGCAACGATAGGGCGGGACCAGCGCAGGGGCGGGGGGAAACATCTACCTGGAATCGGCGATGCATCGCCGATAGATCGGCGACGGGCCCCCGACAGCGAAGCCGCACCCTCCTGGGCGGGGGTGGGCGGGCTATCGGGCTCCTACTGGCGGTCGTTGGCCAAATGAAAGTCGATGCATCCCGCCCTTCGCCGGTTCCCCAAGGAGCGTTGCCCGTGAACGCTAGGTCACCTAACTTTGCGCATCGCACCCAGTGATGCGCCATCACCTTCGCGCCCTCGCGTCGCCTCCGCGGAGACGGGGAATCGCCAGTGCCCAAACCACGACGCGCGGATATCTTCGCGCTCCCTCGGGTGACCCAGGAAAAAGAACCCGTGGCGGACATCGGAAAGACGGTACGACAGGCGGACGAGCGAAGGACGATAGGACGAGGGCAACAGGACGATGAAGAGGATGAGGGACAAAAGACGACAGACAGGCCACCGCGGGCAAGTGGCACATCGTTTGGGGGGCCTCCGAGTGGGGGGACGGCACAAAGGCAAGGAAGAGAACCAAGGGGGATGTACGAGGGAGCCGGGTGGCGGCAAATGGAGGAGGCAAGAGGGATCAGGCGGGCGATGGCAAAGGCGAAGGGCGGGTGAGGAGAGGGAGGGGAGAGGAATGGGAGGAAAGATGAGAACGCAAGAAAGATAGAGGAGAACGACGACAAGACATTTTATACATAAGACGGGATGGAGGATGCGGGAGGGGAGAGGAAGGGATGGCGAAAGGGGGAGATGGGGAGGAAGGAGATAGGGATCAGGGAGGGTGAAGGAGAGAGATGCGTCCTCACATCACATGACCCTGAAGCTTGAACTATCAACCATGAGCAACCACAGGACACTGAGGGCCACGTTCGGATATGTAGCTCTCGCCTCTTCGCGGCCGTGTAGCTACACGGATGGGAAGCCATAATTATCTAAAGTAGCGTCGCGGAAACGCATACAGTCAACTTCAAACAAGTACGCGGACTGAGGGTGGGTGGTCTTCAAACTGCGGCTCTCCTGTTCGCGCAGCGCACATTCGTCTGAGAAGCGCACAACACTCACATGGATGACGGGGCTGGTTGTTCTTCAATAACGGTGCTGTCGCATAAGACGCCCTCCGGCTTGTATCGCCACCGACGGGATACAGGATACGAGAAAAGGTCACACACATGGAGGGCAGTTCCTTGTCAAACTGAGCTTTCAATTGGATATTGTCAAGGAGTCGCCATCGGGATCACCAAGCGCAACAGCAACACGTTCGGATAACGGACTGCTTTTTTGTTTTACATATGTCCACTGTCAAGGTGCATGGAGGAAGGAAGGAGGGAGGGAAAGGGAGGAAGGAAGGGGGGAGGAGGGAAGGAGGGAGGCAAAAGGAAGGATGAAGGCGGGAGCGGGGGAGAGACCGATGGGGAGGGAGGGAAGGAGGAGGGAATGTTGCAGCGTCGCTTGGGCATCTCAGGACTGCTCGTGTTATCCTCCTCTTCTTCGTGCCTGTTCCCTCTCCACAAGTCCATGGGGGCTTTCCGAAATCCCTGGGGCATCGGGGGGTTCGGGGGGGTCCTGGAAGCAAACAAAGGCAGCAAGAACGCGTACATCTTGCAATGATCTAAATCCTCCTCCCCTGACGCCCGCTGAAATCGGTCCTTGGACCCATCCAAGGTGGTCCTTACTTGCACGCTAGCTCGCCCCAAATCGATGCCTGACGGCCCAGGGGTCCGAAACGACCTCCAAGGGTTCCAGGTTAAGGAAACCGTCTGGCGCGATTCTTGTCCATTCGTAACCTCATTACGCCTCGTACTCCCTATACTCCTTGCGTTCCTTTTCCTCCTTCTCCTCCTCCTCCTTTCCCTCCTCCATTTCCTCATCCTCCTCCATTTCCTCATCCCCCTCGTCTTCCTAACTAAACTAAACGCACCTCGGAGGCAAACAGCACTGGTCGCATTGAAACCAATGTCGACATGCATTCGGCTCGGCGCGCCTCGCTAAAAAACGTGAAACGCCCATGCGACACTGGGAAAAATGGTCGGCGCGCGGCCGCGGGAGCCCGGCGGCGCCCCGCTCCGCAGACGCGGCGACGAGGTCCGATACAGCCAGGGGGCCCGCGACTGCGAACGCTGCTGACTGCACACCAGATCGCCCCCCCCCCCCCTCCCACTGCCCGAACGCCTCAGCATATGGAACGCCGCCGCCAGGCGTGCAGGGTTCCACGTGCATCCAGCCGCGACACGGGGGAGGGGGGGGGGCGCTCCGTCACGGCCGACGGTGGGCTCTCCTTCGGAGCAACTCCTCCAAATCGGCCAACCGTCTGTTTCAGGGCTTCCAGCATGCTTTTTGCTCGCTCACTCTCAGTCGCCTGCCACATGGCGGATACGCGCTCCACCTGCAGGCGGAGCCCAGCTAGCTCCTCTGCTGCTTCTCGTTCCAGTCCTTCTGGAGGTCGCGCGCGAGGCGCGGGAGAGGAGGCTGCCCGAACGCCTGCACGTGGTAGACGAGGCGGTGCGAAGCCGTACGCTCTTCCCCCTCCCCGATGGGCATCGCCCGCATGTCCCCCACGCACCGCAAGACTACCTCCTCGTCCTCCACGTCTGTGTTAATACCCACCCCTTGCTTCTTGAACCACCCCGCGTCCTCTCGCGGCAGTGTCGTCATCGGGTTGATGGCCATCTTCACCTTGTTGTCGATGTCCTCGTCGAACCTTGTCTTCTCGAGCCCGACCAGCTTGAACAGCTCGGCCGTCAGAGCGGGTCGCTTCTCCAGCGCCTTGCTCAGCAGCATCTTTTTCACCTTGGTGTCGGTGTCTTTCGTCGAACCTCATCCTGCCGCGCCTGTCCGACTTGAACAGCTCCGCCGTCGGGGCGGGCAACTCCTCCAGGACATTGTTCAGCAGCTCCGTCGCGCACTGGGTCAAGCCGTACCCGCTGGACGTGTCCAAGGCATGCGTGCGCAGGCTTGTTGACGACGCCCCTCACCAACTGCACTTGCTGGCCGTCGGACTCCAGCGGGGAAGGCGCCTTGGGCTTCACGGCCCCGTCGTACTCCTTGTCGCTGGCCTCCGCCGCCTCTGCCCTCGCGCGCTCGACGGGACTGAGGCGGCGGCCTCTCGCTCGCCCTCGCTGTCCCTGCCTGGTGCCCAGCACGCCCTCCTGCCGCCTGCCGACCATCTCCTCTGGTACCTCGAGTAGCAGTCGTCGACAACCTTCTCTCCACCATCGCCGTCGCGGTTCTTCTTCCTCTTGGGTTTGGCGCCCTTCTTGGTCTCCGCTTTCGTCTCGCCCTTCTCGTCCTGCGTGGTGCCGCAGTTGCCGATCGCCGTGCCCACCTCCTCCTCCTCCTCCTCCTCCTCCTCCTCCTCCTCCTCTTTCTCCTCCTCCTCCTCCTCATCCTCCTCCTTCTCCTCCCTCCTTAAAATTCGACACCTGGGCCTGTCTGGGGGGGGGCAGAACATGAACGGGCATACAGCCGTGGCGAAAAGAAGCCTCCGCTAGGCCACCTGGGCCCCACAGAAGACGAATGATGCCCTGACACCTCGATCGCGGAACCGCGAGCCGCGCTCCTCCTGCCCAAGGGACAAAGGAATGGGAGACCTGCTCAGAAGGGGCAAAACATGGAGCTGGAATCGACGATAAATCGCTGACACTTCGGCGATAGGACACCCGATAGCGAGGACTCCGCATGTTCCTGAGCGGGAGGGCTATGGGCTGACGGGCCTCCAACGACGATCAAAGGGCGAGGCGATGGCGGGTCGACGGATCCCCCTCTGATCCTATCCCCCCCTGGCGCTGCCCCTGAGTGCTCCTCCTCCTCCCCCTCCGATCGAGCGACCACAGCCGGGGCGAGAACATCGCGCATTTCTGTGTAGCCTGGTCCGTCGAGTCTTCAAAACCAAGTGGGCAAGGCACTCCGCCAACCGACTGGCAGACACAGGGGGGCACTCGCGGAGGACCTCCGAGCAGGCAGGCCCACTCCACCATAAAACTCAAGGCCCTCATCCCCTGTATGTGACAAAACTTCGCCAAGGAACACGTAGTTATTCGACTGACGCTTGCTTGCCAGGAGCCAGGACCCGCCGAGGGAGGAGGGGTAGGAGGGGGGTAGAGGGTGGGGAGGAGAGGAGGAGGAGGAGGAGCAGGAGGAGCAGGAGGAGCAGGAGGAGCAGGAGGAGCAGGAGGATATGATGAGGACGATATGATGAGGACGGAGATGCAGCATGGGAATAACAGAAGAAGGAGAAGGAGGAGGGCAGAGGGGGTGCATGGAGGTGGGCAACAACAGGACCATGAGCAGAAGAGGAGGAGGAAGAGGATCAGGACTGGGAGAAGAATGGGGGAGGAGAAGGAGGAGGCGGGACGAGGATCCGGAGGATGGAGGATCGGGAGGAGGAGGCGGCGGCGGCGGAGAAGGCTGCGCTCTGCCTCGCGCACTTGCACGCTGGGGTCCGCGAGCAGCTCCCTCAGCGCGGGCGAGGCCTTGCTGGCGTGGGGGCCCATGCGAACCTCGGGGCGCGCTGGCCTCGGCCCGCCCTCCTCGAGGCCGCGACCATCCAGGTGAGCGTGTTCTGGTTCGGCGTTTCGACATTGGGCGGAAGGGGGGGGGGAGGGGGGGGACTCTGGCTCTGGACCTCCTCTTAGTGCGGCTGCTTGGAGCAGTGCGTCCTATGGGGAAGGGCGCCACCTGCCTGCAACAAGCACCACCAACAGCCAAGATCTACTCCGGGGGGGAGGGAGGGGAGGAGGAGGAGGAGGAGGAGGAGGAGGAGGAGGAGGAGGAGGAGGAGGAGGAGGAGGAGGAGGAGGAGGGGGTGCGAGGGCCCGCCCCGATCGGCAACACAATGAACAAGAAAACGATCACCAGCGCCGATCCAAGACATCCGCGCGGACCTCCGAACGTTTGGTGTGCATGCCAGCGTGTCTTCTTCGAGGGAGGAAGGAGCAGGATGCCCTCCTCCTCGGCACCCCTCCTTTCCCATCGTCACTGTCCTTCTCTAGCTCCTCCTCCTCCTGCTGCTGCTCTTGCTCTTGTTGTCTCGCGAGGTTTCGTGGGCCGGTCTGGCCAAGTCTGCCGCAGACCCCTCAGGCAGCTGAACACATGGGTTTAGTTGCTATAAGTTTCTTTGTGGGGCAGCTGACGCACCAGCTCGGTGTTTTTTCGGACTGTCTGGGTCCCGTGCGGTACCATAACCAGTCGGCTGCCCTTCAGGTGTCTTCCAGGAACAAATATGCTGGGCTTCGGAGGGGCTTTTGGGAGATCCAAGGCTCGAAAAACGTCGGCCCTGCGACCCACACCCCTGCCCATCGAAGCAAGGATATAATTGATGCTCTCCCTCCAGAGGAGCGTAGGATAGGACGTGCTAACTTCCATGCGGATCGTTTCGCGAAGGAGGCTCTAGCACTGCACGCGCAGGAACCTCAAGAGTCCTGGGATGACCTTTCGGCCCTGGTTGGCAAGGCCCGTGCTGTGGCCCGTGTGATGGGGACGGTTTTACCCCTGTTTCCGTTTTCCCAGTTCCCTGAACGGAGAAAGGTTCCTTGCCCTAGGAGCACAGGTGCTAACCGATGGCATGCGTGGACTGCCGTACCAGGTGCACCAGGCTCCTTCATTTGTTATGACTGTCACGCTCGCCGTACAGGTACATGTGCTAATGCTCTTGATATGTCGGGCTGCCCAGGGAGGAGGCAGAACTTCTCTTTCCTGATGCAGCCCACCCTCGGACACGACCTGGTCTACACACGTCTCTCGTCAGGTCCGAGCTTGGTCTTTTGCAGGCGCTGCGGTGCATACAGCACTGAGCGTCTCAGTCGTCAGCTTGAGAAGCAGTGCCGAGGCTATGTGGTGTCTTCTGCCAGTAAATGTCGCCTCAATCGTATGCTCCGAGGCCTCCACCCCCAGTCCAATCGTGCCGCCCCAGGTGTTGTGCTCCACATTCTAAGTGATATGGAGCGCCAGAGGCTTCTTGAGACCCAGCAGCGCCCTCAACGTGCTGTGTGGCTTCAACGTCCTCAGGGTGATCTTCCAGGCACGGGTTTAATTCCAGGACTGGAGGGGATGAGGCAGCGGATAGCAGCACGAGAGGAGGCGCGAGGTTTCCAGGAGCAAGTTTTGAGGGCCACAGTGCAGCGGTCGCCTGCACTGGAGCCCGAGGCCCTTGGGTCCCGTGACCATGCCCAGGGGTCTGATGCCCCAGAGCAGGGTCTCGATCCTGAGGAGGAGGCCGCTCGCTTCCTCCATGGATGATAAAACGTTTTGCGTTCTACCCCGCCCCGCGGGTAAAAAAAAAAAAAAAAAAAAAAAAAAAAAAAAAAAAAAAAAAAAAAACAAACTCTTGTTGTCTCTCCTTCCCTTCCCACCTTGTCCCTCATCTTCCTTGACTGCTGGCACGTTCTGCACTCGCTGCTTTGAACAAGAAACGCATACTATTCCATCTCCACCGCCTCGTTGTCGTCCTCCTCTTCACCGTACTCCTCCTGCATCCTTGCGTTCGAAGCCAGGTGGCACGGCGCCAAGTCGCTGCAACTCGGCAATCGGTGAAGGCCCGAGACGTTTACGAAGAAGCCAGCGTCAATGTGTTCTGCTACGGGAAATGTGCTCCTCCCCCTCCTGGCCATTCTCCTCCTCTCCCCTTCTCCACATCCTCCTCCCCCTCGTAATCCTAGTACGAACGCGACGCAGGGGAGGTCCCAGGACTGAACCCCATCTGGCACTTCTCCCACTCATCACCACCTATCGGCCTCTCGTGATCACCTCTTGTTCAACCTGTTGCCCTAATGCAGTGACCCACTACCTCCTCCTCCTCCTCCTCCTCCTCCTCTTTCGTCCCCCTCCTTTTTGTTTCAAGTGCGGGATACTTGCACCGCGCCAGAGGCGGCGCCAGCGCGGACCCGAGACAGATCCGCGCGGACCTACGAGCATTTCTGTGTGTGGCGCTTGCTGTCCCTCGATTGCCCCCCCTCCCTTCTCGCTCCTGCTCCTGCGTTAGGGCATGTACCGCAGGTCTGTGGTGGGTTTGATGGGGTCGGCTGCTTGATTGATTCTAATTGGCTCTGGCATGCCAGTGTGGAGGCCTCCCTATCGGGGCGAAACTAAATTGGTCGCTTGATCGCGGGGTAGCCACTCAGCTCGCGTAGCTGGTTGTTCTGGCGCCTTCAGAGCCAGAAGTGCCAACGTACCGAGAATAGCGTAAGGGGGCGATGACGAAACCAGCAGCACGCATCACATCTTGCACCCGCAGCATGCAGCATGCAGCAAATCCCCCCCACCATCCGACCCGACAGTGACCCCTGGGCGATGATGAATCAGTTGGGTTCCAGGCCTGCTCGTGGACCGTCACTGAGACTAGTTGGTCACCCTCTCTCAAACTTTCACCAGCAGCAGCAGCAGCAGAAAGCAGCGTCTCAATCGTCCCCAATGTATGTGGGCGTGTCTGTGTCGCGTGGCCACCAAAAAGCACCACTGCCCTGCACCCGCAGACAAACAGTGACGCAACGATGACCCGTCGTATTCGAGATGTCACAGCAGCTGCGCTGGACCAGAATACTGAAACGGCTCGCGCGTGGAACGGCCCAGCTGTAGCCTGGGGTCTTGGCTGGTGTGCCCCTGCGTGATCCTACATAAGTTCTGATGGGCACATGTGTCACCACCGCTACCATATGTGGGACGGGGGAGAAGGGAGGATGAGGAGGTCCTCCTCCTCCTCCTCCTCCTCCTCCCTCCCCTGCATATGGTAGTGGTGGCGGAAAATGGGCCCATCAAGCTCAGAACCCCCCTTCCCCTTGCGGCTGATTCGGCTCCCTCGGCGGCGCCAAGGCCATCGTGGCGGCGCGGCGCACGTTGATGTCGGGGTCCTCGTGGGGCTGGCGGGGGTACGGTCAATGGGCACAATCCTGCACCACCCGCGCGACCAGGGCGCTGGCGCAAACGTCAACGCGCCCACCTGCCCCCGATTCAATGCTGGTCGGAATCGCCAGCGAGGCGCAGGATTTCGGCCAATCAACAAGTCGACACATCGCGGCATAGCACGCCAGATTGAAATTGGGGGCGCAGGGGGCTAGTCACAAACATCGAAGTAAACGGTGCAACATGTCGTCCATCAACCGCGAGGCGGCGGCAACGAAGGGTGCAGCATGAGGGTGGGCTCTGAGCGCCAAGCGCCAGCCTCCTCGAGGCTCGAGGTGCAGGGCGGCCTTCTGCCACGTCTGCCTCGTCGCCCCCCTTCCTGCGAAGGGAGGAGGACAGGGCACCAAGAGGGAGGGAGGAGGCAGGAGAAGTGTGCGTGCGGGAGACGGTGGAGGAGGCGAGGGGGGGAGGGTTGGGGGGGAAGGGGGAAAGGGGAGGGAGGGAAGGGAGGGCAGGGGCGGAGGGGATGAGGGAGGGGGGGAGGGGAGTGCGGGAGGGCGGGAGAGCGGGGAGGGGAGGGAGGGGACGCGGGGAGAGAGGGAGGGGGATGGAGGGATAGAGAGAGAGGCAGGGCGAGAGCGGGAGGGACGAGGGAGAAGGGAGGGAGGAGGGAGGAGAGGGTGAGGAAGATGGGTAGGGAGGGAGGGGAGGGGAGGGGAGGACGACCGAACGAACGAACAACATAGCCCCGGATCCTCTGCCCCGTCTACGACGAACGCACGCTGCACTAGACGACATTGCACCTCGGATAGGGAGAGAGGGGGAGAGAGGAGGAAATGGCGGAGACGAACACATTGCGTCATTCACCCTGTATGTGGAAGAACCAGGATGAAAAGGAGGACCAGAGGGAAACAGGGCGATTCGGATTAGCGACAACAGCACGGGGAGGTCACCACCTCGCTCGGCGAGGGCTTGGCCCGACCACGTCCAGTTGTTCAGTGTTGCTGCATGTTGCTTCAGACCAGTTCCATGAATTTTGGGCGCAAGCGTGCAGCATGCGTCCGCACACCACGGGCCGCCAACCACGACGATCCTGTAACTGCACCGCCCCCGCCTCGAGCTCTCGCCCCCGCGGCTGGTCTAAGGGCGAGAATAACATGAGGACACGATTGCCGACGAGACACGACACTGCAAATGGCCGCCGATAAGCAGCTGGAGGCCCAAGACAGCCCCACAAACATTCCCCAGACAACCTCAAAAGGGTAAAACGGGTGATATTCCTAAGTCCGCTGGCCCCCTTGTGGGGCCACCAGGCTGCGAAGCTGAGGTCTCCTGCGCTCCGCACCAATTCCAGCTTCCAGCTTCAAGTGTTATAATGCTACTTCCTTTGAGGACCAACAACTACCCCAGCCACCACGCCCGACTCGCGTTGCCTGAATAGCTGGTGGGTCTGGGACATGTGAAATTACGTGGGATTCGCGTTCCCGAGACATGATTATTTCGTAAACTATTACAAACTCGCGTCCCCGCCCGAGGCCAGACTCTTCCATACCTGATGACAAGTTCGCGCTACTGGAAACATAATCACACAAACTTCAACCAAATTCGCCATCTCGAGCTCAGAATTCCACTGACAATTGCGCAAGGCTTGCACTCCCGAGGCCAGAAATTACATCAGATTGACGCTCCCAAGGCCAGAACTTCAAATCAATTACCCCGGATGCGGCACCCGGGGCCGAACCCTTTGCACATGGCGCCAGCTTCGCACGCCTGAAACCAGAAGCATGTGCAAGTGACACAAGAATCAAGCTCCCAAGGCCAGACTACTTCATAGTTTAGGCCACATTCGCGCTCCCGAGGCCAAGAATCTTCAGCACATGATAACGAAATCGCGCCCCCGAGGCCAAGATCACCATTGAATGACACAAGATTCGCGCTCCCGCGGCCAGAACCTAATATTTTGAATTTGACTTGTGGCACAGAAACAACAATCCCTCATTAATTACTCCATGATCACGCCCACGAGGTCGCGATCCCTCGTATACTACCCCCAAGTCGCACTCTGAGGCGACGATCCCTTAAAAATCACGCCAGCTTCGCACCCCCGCGGCCACGGCTTCACACCAGGGTCGCGACCTCCAGATCACGCTGGATACGCGCTCCCGAGGCCACGATCGCTCGTGAATTACACAAGAGTGGCGCCCCCGAAGTCACGACGCCTCGTGAACTGCGCCGCGCTCGCGCCCGCGAGGCACGATCCACCGACATCTCAAGGTGCTCGCTGAATGCCAAATCGCCTTCGCATGATGTTCACAGACGTCTTCTAAACGGCGCCGAGACATCCCAGCATAACCTTGCTAGATATACCACTGTGGTAGGCATGGTGCAGGCGGCAAACAGCGAATGAATAGTTTTCGCCGTCGTTGCCGCCATTGCCGTCGCCGTCATCGTCGTCGTCATCGTAGCCGTCGTCGTCGTCGTCGTCGTAGTCGTCGTCGTCGTCGTGTTCATGATCTTGTTCGTCGTCGTCGTCGTCGTCGTCGTCCCCCTTCAAGGCCTTCGCAATAGCCGCCGATAGGCAATTGGCACATCAAAGACAGAAACTGGCGCCTTTGGCGCAGAGCTCGCCGTTCCTGTTTGGGGGGAGCTGGGGGCTGCATAGTGCTAGTTGGTCTCTCCACTCTTGGACGGGACCTCCCAACGCTGACTTGTCTTTCTCAGGCTGAGGCAGGGGTGCGAGTTCGCAGACCCGGGCTCGAGCTAAAGAATGTTTTAAATGTTCGTGTTGGTATAGTTTTCCCTCGAGATGTCCACGTTCAGCCTTTGCTGCAAAACGACACCAGAACGTGAAAGGTCCACGAAGTCGCCCAAACCTAATTCAGCTCGCGCCCTGTCGCAAACGCTGTGCCCGTCTGATGCAGTAGCTCTCTCCCCGCGAGCGGATGGGTAACACTCATGCCGCTCGCCGATCCTCAGCCAGCCCTGAGCACGAGGCCAACCTGGCACGAGCCCAGGGGAGAGGAGCGGCCGAACGGCGAACACCCGACTAAACAACAAAAGGAACCGGCAAGAGCACGGGATTCGAGATCGATCAGCGCGGACGGCGGGATAGGCAACGCCGTGCGAGCGCCCAGCAGGGCGAGGAGGGAAGGAAGGGGGAGAAACGCCCCCCTCCCGCACAAAAGGTGGGTCCTTGATGCGCTCCGTCAGCGCCGGCAGTGCCCGCGAGGCATGCTGGCCGAGCTGGCCTAAGGCCAGGGCCACTGTCACGCGGACCTCGGTCGGGACGGGCGCAAGTCGGGGGGCGTCAGCTGAGCCCACATGGGGATCCCGTTCCCTGAGTCCTCTTTTGGCCCGAGGTCATGAAGCAACTCCTGGAAGGTCTTCGTGAGAACGATAAAGCGCTAGAATCAAGTTTTCATTGTTTGAAATAACTTGACGCCCGTTACAAGCCACCCCCTGGTGACGTCACGATACGCGCCAGGGCTGAGTGGGAATTAGCCCTTACTAGACATTCTTAGACGGCGCTGGCGCAAATCGTGAAATTACAGGCCCCCTTCCCCCCCTCCTCCCCACCTGGACACGCCCATTATCGCGAAGGGATGCAACAAAGGTCTCTACGAAGCCCGACTATAAGGCAACTTAGCCATAGCAAAAAAGGCCCAATCAAATCCGCCACCGTGCCTCCTGTCACATTGAGGCGTGGAATAACCTGATCAGACAAGAATGGGAAGCGCCGATACTGTCAATTGAGGCTCGTAGGGGGGAAAACGAAAATGACGATGGCGACAACAAGACGGCGGATGTCGAGAATGGCAGCGTGGATGACGGGGAGGGCAGCGAGGGAAGCAGAAGGACAATGAGTAGGAAGACAAGCACGAGGACGAGGAGGGAGAGGTGGAGGAGGACGAGTACGAGGAGGAACGAAGTGGAGGAGGCGGACGAGAAGGAACATACAAATACGTATTATGCTAAGAGGAATCGTACGACGAATGCGAATACTGGAATAAAACGCACGAGTGTGAAGACATATTTAAACATACAACTCGTAATACTAAAGAAGATAATGATGATAAGGACGACGACGGCGAAGAAGGACGATAAGGAGCCCGACGAAATGGACGTCAAATAATCGAAGAAGAGAGGGATCCTCCTGATCTTTTCAGACTACCCTCGGGGCTGTTGGGGCCGTCTGGAGCTATCTTGGGTCAACCTGGGGGCCTAGTGGGAGCCTGTCGGGGTCCTCTTGGGGCAGCAGCAGGGAGAGATGTCGAAGACGCGCAAGAATGTGGCGCCCGTCACCAGGCTGCACGCGAGGACCCCTCCAGCTGGGATCAAGGCGGAGCCCGAGTCCGACGACGAGGAGGATGTGGAGGTCGCGATGCCCGCGGGCCCGCCGAGCGCCACGAGCCCGAGCGAGAGGGTTGCTGCAGGCGCGAGGAGCGCCACGAGTCCTCGTCCGGGGGTTGCTGCTGGCTCGAGGCGCGGAGGGCGCGCCGCTCCTGGAGGGGCAGCGCGGGCGGGATCCGACAGCCACGAGGGGCGGCGCAATGGCCAGCGATGGGGGTAGGGGAGCAGCTCGATGAGCACCCCAAGGCCCCCCTCCCAAGGCAGGCACAGCCACGCGACCACTCCATGCGGGACCAGGCCGCCAAGTAGGAGCAAGGAAAGGCGACACCAACACCAACAGGGCGAGGAGATGCGTGGAGGCAAGGGGGGTCTCCCTGGTGGTGTGGTCCCCCCCTCTCGCTCGAGACATCCCCAGTCTCCCGCTCGGGGAAGCATTGTGGACCTCCTCGCTGGAGGTGGGCCCCCTGGTGGTGTTGGTGTCGCTTCTCCTCCCTCCGAGCCAAGGGGATCGCGCGCAGCTACCGGAGCCTGGCAAGACGCATCCAGGCACGGCAGGAGGACGCAGCGCCCGCCGAGCGAGGCCACGGCCCCGTGCCCGAGGCCCGAGGAGAGGGTCCGGAGCAGCAGGAGGTGGTCGAGGTCGGAGGGCCGCGGGCGCAGGGAGCCGGCGCGGTCGGCGCCCCCACGCTCAGGCCGCAGGCGCGCAAGTGCCCCGGCGCACAGGGGCCCGCTCCCAGTTCCGGGCAGGAGAGAGCCTGGACTTGGGCGTGGCTTAATGGGGGGGTCACAAATGGGGGGGTCAAAAAAGGTCCCCTTTCGTGCCCCTATCGGGCCCCTCCGGAGCCCCAGGGGGCTCGTTTAGGTACCGTTTGGGTACCTTTTCGGACCACGCTCGCCACCCCCCCATTTATGACCCCCCCATTACGCAGCGCCCAACACAGGGGCCCGCTCCCAATTCCGGGCAGGAGAGAGCCTGGACGGGGGAGCAAGGAGGCTCCGGACTGCGAGCGGGGCAACGACGGGGGAAGCGAGCCGCAGCCGGAGGATAGCCTGGGCTCAGAGAGGCCCCCCTCCCCTGCCCGCTGCGCGGTCTGCCAGGACTGGGGATGCGAGGCGCGCTGCGGATACGAGAGGTGCGGAGGCGTGAGGCGTGATCTGCGAGGGCCTTTATGAGGAGGAGCGCGGCCGCGACCATTCGATTGCCCAGTGCTCCGCGCTGGGTGTGTTCAGCGAAAGTGGGTCCGAGGCGGGCAGGAGTGTCGCAGGCGAGGAGGCGCAGAGCAGCGAGCAGGATAGCCCGCCAGGAGATGGGAGCCCGACGGACTGGGAGGGGCGGTCGCCGCCGTCCAGTCCGCAAGGAGCAGAAGGCAGGGTGCCGGAGCCCCTGCCCATGCCTGGCGTGGCGCGCAGGAGCCCAAAGGGGGAGGCTGCCAGACTGGCAGCGCTGAGGGCGTGCGCGGCGAGGATCGACCGGGAGGCCCAGGGCTCAGCGCGGCCAGGGGGCGCGGGCGGCATCGACCCAACGGCAGCTCAGCACTATACCTGGAGCAGACGGAAAGCGAGGCGCCGAGCGGCCTCAGAGTATACCTGGAGCCGCTGGCCAGGAGGAGTCGTGACGACAGCAGGCGCAGCGGGTCCCTATAGCTGGTCAAGATATGAGGCTTTCCCGAGCAGTTTGGACGCGCGAGCGAAATGGGCACGGAGAATACTCGGTACAATGCCCAACGACAAAAGTTCTCAAAACCGACAGCGGCCGCTGTTGGGCAGGCGGTACTTTGTCTTCACTTGACAACGTCCGCGGCGGCGCGGACAGCGAGTCCTTTTCGAAATGAACAGCAACTGCTATTGGGCATGGTACCCATTCTTTCCGTGCCCAATTCTTTCGTGCCGAAGCAGAGGGCAGGCTGGCTGGACTGGGCTCGCGCGGCGCTGATGCCTGAGGAAGCAGAGGAGCGCAGGGCGGGAGCCTATACCCAACGCAAGAAGCGCAAAGGCATGAGCGTTGAGCCGAGGGTCGGCCAGCCCGCCAGCCTTCTGGGGCCGGAGGCCGTGCTCGCCAACGCGAAGCCTGACGACTTGATCCTCGCGGACCTGAAGACGCCAGAGGACTGGGAGAAGGCCAAGCTGGAGCTCATCCTGGACAAGCTAGCAAGATCCACCATCAAGTCCTACAGCCTGGGATGGCGCCGGTGGTCACTCTTCTGCAGGGGGCGCGGCATTAGCCCGCTGCGGGAGGTCACAACGTCTAAGAGAAGGGCGGAGGAGGAGCTGCTGCTGGACTTCGTGGTGCACTTGTCGAGGCGAGGGCTCAGGAAGGCAGGCACGATCAAGCAGTACCTCAGCGCTGTGAGGGCGCAGCACCTGGCGCTGGGCATGGGTGACCTCACGGCGGGAGCAGGGCGACTCTGGATGGCGATCGACGGGCTCAGGCCGCGTGACGGAGCGCCCCAGGGGAAGAAGCCCGTCACGCCTCGCATGGTGCGGTGGATCAGGAAGAAGCTGCAGCCAGAGAGGTCGCGCGAAAGAGCGGCATTGTGGGCGGCGGTCGCCACGGGCTACTTCTTCCTGCTGCGAGCCAGCGAGTACGTGTCGAGCGACCAGAACGGCTACACGGGCAACAAGGGCTTTCGCGGGGTGGACGTCACGAAGAAGGCAGCGGGCGAGCCGCGCAGCAGCTGGCCAGCGGCGGACGAGGTGGTCATCAAAATCCGGGCCAGCAAGACCGACCAGTACAACCGCGGGGAGTGGCGCAACCACTTTAAGGCTGAGGCGACGACAGAGGCGGAGGCGGAGGCGGAGGCCCACATCTGCGTCGTGGAGGCGCTGACTGTCCACGAAGGATGGCGAAAGAACGGTTTTCGGGCTTCAGGATGCACGACCCGCTTTTCGCGTACGACGACGACTGGCTGGTGACCCGGGCGGATGTCCAGCGGGTGGTGATGCAGGCGGCGGTGGCAGAGGGAGTCGACCCGAACGACCTGGGCTCCCACAGCCTGCGGATCGGCGGCGCGTCAGCCCTGCACGCAGCGTGCAAAAATACGGCGCCGGTTCAGAGGTGGGGACGCCGGAACAGCGGTGCCTGCCAGGGGCATCTCTGGGAGGCGAGGGACAATGGCGCAGGGCGTGGCAAGCAGCATGGCGGCCGCCGACCTGACCATGGTCGGGGATGGACAGACCCCCCTTTAGTAAAACGTGGTTTAGTGAAAACGACCTGAGGCCCAAACCTGGCGGGCGCAAGCCTGGAAAATAACGGCCACGGCGCCCTCTCGAGAACCGAAAACGGACAATTCACTAATCGACGTGTCACTGTTGGGGGTTCTGTCCAGCCCCGACATGGTCCGAGGAGGTGCTGGGAGGCGGCGGATGGGAGCCCAGAGGCTCCTGCGCAGGGGCAGCCCCCATGGGCTGTGGCGCGGGGGCGAGGCTTGGAGAGGCGTGGAGAGGCGCCGCTCGGTCGGGCGCTGCGGGCGCCAGAAGATGTCGGGACACAAAATGCACTGAGCGACTGAGAATGGCCCTGTAATCTGCAGGTGCTCCATGTTTAAAAGACGTTTTTTCCGTAATTTGAGTGCTGGGCAGCGTGGGGCCAGGTCCCCCCTCCAGTGCGGGCGGGGGCTCTGGAGGGAAGCCCCGCGGCCCGCAGAGGGGCGGGGCGCACGGGAGCTCCGGGGGGGTCGGTGGCCCGGGCTGCGCGAGGCCACCGAGCTCGCGCCACGCGGCCAGACGGCCGCAGGCGCCCGCAGGGCAGAAGGAAAAGAGCGCTCTCCTTCGCGCCTCATGTCTGAGGAGAAGGAGGTGAGGAGGGAAAGGAGGAGGGATGAGGAGGAGGAGGAGGAGGAGGAGGAGGAGGAGGAGCAGCAGGAGGGGCGGCCTGAGGGCCCAGGTGAGCCAGGCGAGCCTACGGGCCCGATCCGCCGTGGCCCCGAGGCGTAGAGGCAGAGGGGAAACCGATGAGAAGTTAAGGTGGCCGAGGAGGCTCACGAGGAGGCTAGGGAGGAGGAGGAGGAGGAGGCTGAGGAGGAGGAGGAGGCCGAGGAGGAGGAGGAGGAGGAGGAGGAGGCCGAGGAGGAGGAGGAGGCCGAGGAGGAGGAGGAGGAGGAGGAGGAGGAGGCCGAGGAGGAGGAGGAGGAGGAGACCTGGCCAGAACTGCGGGGCGGGGGACCCCCAGATGGAGGCCAGCGACGCCCCACAAGGAGGCCCAAACCCTGGACACGTGTGAGCCCTGCATCTTCACCAAGCGAGGGGGTCTGGGCACCTCCTCATCGTTGTCCACCAGGCGCCGCCGTCCTCCTCCTCTTCCTCCTCCTCCTCCTCCTCCTCCTCCTCCTCCTCCTCGTCGATCCCCGATCCTCGACCATCCTCCTCATCATCCTCTCTTTCCCTCTGGGCATGATCCGCCCCCCAGACCCATCCTGTGGGGGAAAGAAAGGAGGGACCGATACCGATACTCCGCGGCCCTCTCCCGAAGCGCGATCCGACCAGGACTTCGAGGCGAATCCAACCATGCCGAAGAGGGAAGGTGCAGCGGCATCGGTACCTCTTCCTCCTATAATCGTGGGGCGCACTCCTGAAATCTGCCTCCTCGACCCCCCTCGATCAGAAGAAAAAGATGCATAAACGTAAACTGTCGACAGTCCGCGCGGATTTCTTGGATCGGCGCTGGACCCCCTCCCTGGCGCGCGAAGCGCGCCTGGGGCGGCGCTGGAGGCGCCACCAAGGGGGCCCAACGCCGATCCGAGAAACCCGCACGGACCGTCGAAAGAGTAATGTTTACGCAGCTGTTTCTTTTTCGAGCGTAGCAGCATCGGTAACTTTTCTGGGGCACGTCCCGAACTCTGCCTCATCTTCCTCCTCCCCGACTTTCCTCGTGAGGGGCAGCGATAGGGGGGAGGAGCCAGCTCCGGGGGGCACGACCTGGCATCGGCGATGATGCATCACCGATTGATCTCGGGAGACTCTCCATGGGGGGGGGATCCCATGGGGGGGCAGGAGGGGATCCCCCCCATGGGATCCCCTCGTGCCCCCCCATGGGATCCCCAGGGGATCCTATGGGATCCCCCCCCTGGGATCCTATCCCCCCATGGGATCCCCCCCCATGAAGAGTCTCCCGATGATCGGCGATGGGCCCCCGACAGCGAATCCCCCCGGTTCCTTGGCGGGGTGGGGGCGGCTGGGGGTCGATGCCTTCCGGCCAGGGCCTGTCCCCCCCAACGCTGCCCCTTCGCATTCGGGCCACAGTTCGGCTCTCCTGCGGCCGCTCGGGAGGATCTGGCCCCCCCCCGAACGCTCACGGCGAGGAGCGGCTGCTGGAACGCATCCCGAGACTAGAAAGCCGCCGCGAACCAACGAGAACGCCGCCTGAGAACCTTGACCCTCGAATCTCGGGGGTCGAGGTTTTTGGGGGGATCGCTGGGGAGGGGCAGGTGTAGGCGGGAACTGTCGGCGGGGAACGCTGGGCGGGGACAGGCTCAGCCTGTCCACGCCGAACGTCCCCTCCCCTCAGTTTCAGGGGGACGTAAGACCTGGGTACAGGGGACTCGGAAATCCCCGACGAGGTCGTCAAAAAAATGACGAGGCCGAGCCTGCATTTTGACGAGGCCTCCCGCTGCAGACATCCCACGAAACTCCTCCTCGTCAAAATCCGAGGCGCGGTCGTCAAAAAACGATGGCGAACCCGAGTCCTGGCAAACCCGGGTCTTACGCTCCCCCGAGTCTTGCCCGAGATGACGTACGGCAGGTTCGTGTCGTGCCGACCCCAGCGTTGGTTTTTGACACCGCAGGGATCGTTCAACCTTGAACGATCGGCCGCTGCCGCAACGTCCGATCGTTCAACATCGATCGATTCTGGGTCGCCGGCGGCGTTCAACCTTGAACGCCCGCGCTGGGGTCGCCGCGAGTCGACACGACGCAAACCTACCGTAGCGACCTTACGGCGGGGCGCGGGCCGCCCGCGAGAAACGCCACGCTGGACGCGAGGGCGCTCACGCGCGACCATGCGCGGGCAGCGTGCGCGCCGATGTCGGCGCAAACAACCCCGTTTTTCCGTGCGTCGCTCCGCTGTCCCTCCCCGTCGATCCTCCTCCTCGGTCTCGCGAAGGCGCCTCCTCGTCGTTGTCCACCAAGCGCCGCCCCAGCGCCGGCACCGCCGCGGCCGCGTGCGCGCCGAGGTTGCCGAGGGAGGCCGCGGCAGCCTTGCCGCCGCAACGCCCTCCTCCACCGGATGTCCTCTCTGTGCTCCTCGCCCTCCTCGTCATCCTCCCGCGCCAACCTGCTCCTCCTCCTCCTCCTCCTCGTCGTGTATCGTCTTCTTCGTCCTGGCCCTGGTCCTGGTCCTCTCTTCTCCTCCTGCTGCTCCTGCTCCTGCTTCTGCTCCTCCTCCTTCTCCTCCTCCTCCTCCTCCTCCTCCTCCTCCTCCCTCCTCCCCCGCCCTCGTCCTGGTCCACCTCCTGCTCCTGCCTCCTCCTCCTCCTACTCCTGCTCGTCTTCCTCCTCCTCTTCGTCCTCCTCCTCCTCGTGCTCATCTTCTTCGTCCGCCTCCTCCTTCCGCTTCCTCCCTATTCTCCTCCGCCTTCTCCTCCTTGAACAGCTGCCTTGAACAGCTCACTCCACCTCCGCCTCCGCCTCCGCCTCCACCGGCGCCTCCTCCTCCTCCTCCTCCTCCTCCTCCTCCTCCTCCTACTCCTCGTTGAACAGCTGCCTTGAAAGGTATTCTGCGAGAGCAAATCACCCGACAACGCATTACTACAATAGCGGAAGCACGGATGACGGCACGGCAGGTAGGGTCGGATGACGGCACGGCATCACCAATGCATCAATGATGCGCCAGCGACGAAGGAAGGAAGAGCATCTATGTCCGGATCGTGCTGCATCGCCAATGCATCGGCGCTGGACCACCACAAGGGGCAGCGCAAGAGGCGCCGCCACGGGCGTCCAGCGCCGATCCAAAAACTCTACGCGCACCCCCAACAAAGTATGGTTTGACGCTTTGTCTTCTGATCCGTTGATCATCATCCTTGTCGTACTCTTCCTCCACCTCCCCACCCCTCCTCCCGTTCCCACATTCTGTGCCCCACCGCCTTGCCTCCGAGCACCCCTCCTCCGCGCCGCCGAGCGGCCGCGCAAGAGGGCCGCCTTGCGCACGTCGTTGCTGCCGTCCCCCAGGCAGCGCTTGAGGGCCAGGACTGCGCGGCGCGTCGAGTGGTGCCGCGCGGGGGCACGTCGGATCGGACGTGAGGGAGCGAGGAGGATGCTAAAGGGTCAGAGTGTGCCGGCAAGTAGCGTGGCGCACTGTAGCGAAGGGGAAGGCTGCGAGGGCAACCTTGGGAGGTTGCTCATCAGCGCCGGATGTCTGGGTTAAGGCCGCCGGGGGCCCCCCCAGAGGCCGCGACGCCCAGACATCCGAAGATCTGCATGTTCCCTAAATGGCTTGTCTGGAAAGGTCCTGAACAAGTACACGTCGGTGTGAAACCAATCAACTGTGCTTTCCAGCAGCAGCAGAGCAAGGCAGGAGGGATACTCCGCTGCCTTTCAAGGGGGCGATCCCGCATGACGGACAAGGAAGACGACGCAGGTGTGGAGTAAGTAAATCAAACCATACAAGTAGATGATGGCGGATAACGCAGATTGGGTTCAGGCCCTCGAAGAGAATAACATAACAGAACGCAGCAAAATCATATCGATTCTTGACGTAGGGAGGCGCTTGAAGTAGAGCGGGATCGGGAAATCCAGAAGCACCTGCCTTCAACGACCGTCGGGCATGCAGACCGAAGCCTGGTGAGGGCTGCCGGACCCCCGAAATCGGTGGCCCATCGTGGCCCCCTGTCGTTGGCCCCCCCTCATCCTTCTGGCCCCCCTCCGTGCAACTGCGCGGGCGGGCGGTCGGGGCCCGTTGCCGCCAGGGCGTCACCTCAGGCCACCGTCCCAGGGAGGCCACGGCCACCTCCCCGCCGGGCAGCTCCTCGCCCCCCCGAACCACTTGGGAGGGCCCTCGGGCCCCGAAGCCGAGGTTGACGACACATCACCGGTGCTTGGGGGCGTCGCTTAATAGGGGGGGGGAGGTGGCGATCACAATAGGGGGGGGGGAAGGGAGGTGCACTCCTCGGGCCCTGAGGGCTTCCACTTTTTGGCCAGCGAGGGCCCCTGTAGGAGCCCGAGAGGCCCTTGTTCTGCAGTCTCTGCTGCCCCCCACGGGTTCTTGAACTCCAAGAACTGATACCGGAGAAACACCCCAACCATAATATTTTTGGGGTTGTAGGGTCATGGGGCTATAGGGCTATAGGACATGGGCTATAGGGTCATGGGCTATATAGGGTTGTAGGGCTGTAGGGCTATAGGAACATAGGGCTATAGGGCGACAAAGCAATAAGGCTATAGGACTATAGCCCTACAAATGCTATAAAGTTACAGGGCTATTGGGCAATTGGGCTATAGGGCATAAGGACTATGGGGCTGGCTATTAGGGCTATAGGCCTATAGCCCTATAGGTATATAGGGATACAGTAGGGCTATAGAGCGATAGAGCACCCGGGCACCCCGTGGAACCCGGGCACCCCGGGGCACCCCCGGGCACCCCGGGGCACCCCCGGGCACCCCCGGGCACCCCCGGGCACCCCGGCACCCCCGGGCACCCAGGCACCCGGGCGTGCGGCGAAAATCGGCGGCAAACCAAACCTAACCATACGAATCCGCTAGGACCCCTACAGAGGCAAGCTCTGATTGGAGCAATGAACTGGTGGTTGAATTCGAAAAAAAACATTCTTCTTGTTGTATTCCAATCAACTGTTTTTACATTAAAGCAAGAACTGGCTTTCCATTGTTTAAGGTTTACTTTTTCCACAAAAAAGCAAAACAAAAATCCTGAGTTCAAAAACCGTTGTGTTTGATTCGAAAACTCATTGCCACCCCCATTACGCAACGCCCAAGGTACACCAGGCAGAGTCTGAGCACCGCTACTGCCTTCTTGCGTCGTAGGTGCCACCGAGGCGTCCACCTAGAAGGCAAACAAATTATCCCGGCAAAGCAACCTAACAGCGATGTGTAGGAGCATATCTGGAAGCATTCCCCTTACGATTCAGATGAGAACCCAGTTGTAGAGTTCTGCTGTTCTCGCAGTCGTAGCCGCATTCGCGATAACAGTCGCAGTGGCAACGGCAGTCGCAGTCACAGTCTCAGCCTCAGCCTCAGCCTGCCTCAGCCTCAGCCTCAGCCTCAGCCTCAGCCTGCCTCAGCATCAGCCTGCCTCAGCCTCAGCCTCAGCCTGCTTCAGCCTCAGTCTGCCTTCAGCCTCGGCCTCAGCCTCAGCCTGCCTCAGCCTCAGCCTGCATCAGCCTCAGCCTCAGCCTCAGCCTGCCTCAGCATCAGCCTGCTTCAGCCTCAGCCTCAGCCTGCCTCAGCCTCAGCCTCAGCCTGCTTCAGCCTCAGCCTCAGTCTGCCTTCAGCCTCGGCCTCAGCCTCAGCCTGCCTCAGCCTCAGCCTGCATCAGCCTCAGCCTCAGCCTCAGCCTGCCTCAGCATCAGCCTGCCTCAGCCTCAGCCTCAGCCTGCCTCAGCCTGCCTCAGCCTCAGCCTGCTTCAGCCTCAGCCTCAGCCTGCCATCAGCCTCGGCCTCGGCCTGCCTCCTGAGCCTGCAGCCTCAGCCTCAGCCTCAGCCTCAGCCCTCAGCCTCATCAGCCTCAGCCTCAGCCTCAGCCTCAGCCTCAGCCTGCAGCCTCAGCCTCAGCCTCAGCCTCAGCCTGCCTCAGCCTCAGCCTCAGCCTCAGCCTGCCTCAGCCTGCAGCCTCAGCCTCAGCCTCAGCCTCAGCCTCAGCCTCTTCAGCCTCAGCCTCAGTCTGCCTGCAGCCTCGGCCTCAGCCTCAGCCTGCCTCAGCCTCAGCCTGCATCAGCATCAGCCTGCCTCAGCATCAGCCTCAGCCTGCCTCAGCCTCAGCCTCAGCCTGCTCAGCCTTCAGCCTCGGCCTCAGCCTCAGCCTGCCTCAGCCTCAGCGTCAGCCTCAGCCTGCCTCAGCATCAGCCTGCCTTAGCCTCAGCCTCAGCCTGCCTCGGCCTCAGCCTCAGCCTCAGCCGCTGAGCCTCAGCCTGCTTCAGCCTCAGCCTCAGTCTGCCTTCAGCCTCGGCCTCAGCCTCAGCCTCACAGCCTCAGCCTGCCTCAGCCTCAGCCTCAGCCTCGGCCTCAGCCTCAGCCTGCCTCAGCCTCAACCTGTATCAGCCTCAGCCTCAGCCTCAGCCTCAGCCTGCCTCAGCATCAGCCTGCCTCAGCCTCAGCCCCAGCCTGCCTCTGCCTCAGCTTCAGCCTGCTTCAGCCTCAGCCTCAGCCTGCCATCAGCCTCGGCCTCAGCCTCAGCCTGCCTCAGCCTCAGCCTGCATCAGCCTCAGCGTCAGCCTCAGCCTGCCTCAGCATCAGCCTGCCTCAGCCTCAGCCTCAGCCTGCCTCGGCCTCAGCCTCAGCCTCAGCCTGCTTCAGCCTCAGCCTCAAGCCTCGGCCTCAGCCTCAGCCTGCCTCAGCCTCAGAAGTGGCGTACAGTTGGCTCCGGGCGCCCAAAATGTAGCCCGGGAATGGAGTTCTGGACACTCGAAGACCACGAAATGGCGTACAGTTGAATCCGGGCATCCAAAATGTGGCCCGGGAATTGAGTTCTGGGAACTCGAAGTCCACGAAGTGGCCTACAGTTGGCTGAGGGCATCCAAAATGTACGCCGGGAATGGAGTTCTGGAAACTCGAAGACCACGAAGTGGCTTACAGTTGGCTCCGGGCATCCAAAATGCACGCCGGAAACGGAGTTCTAGCAGCGCCAAGAGCGATTTTGCGAGGATGTCCAAAGCGATTTGGGCTTCGACGGCAGCCGCCCCGGGTCCCGCCCCGACCCCCCTGAGGAGTCATGATGCTCTCTTTTGACACCACTAGAAACCTATCAGTCTTCGCTGTTAAGTAAAAACGATCATAGCCTCCGCGCGACACGCGAAGCCATTTACTAAAGGCCCCCACTGAAGGAACCGAGCAAGGCGGCAGGGCCGTTCAGTAAACGCCCAAGGCCGTTTCGTAAACGGCGATTGTTCAGTCAGGGTGGTTCTTCCTCCCTTGACCAACGAGGGGCCGTCAAACGACCGCCGATGGGGGCGTCGGAGGAGGGCCGCCCAGTTGGGGAACCCCAGATCGGGGGTTGCCGGGGGCGCCCCTGGCCCAAGGTCGGGCGCGCCCCCCTCGAGGCCACTCGCGCACGAAAAAATAGGAAAATTGAAGAAATGCGAGCCTCCAGGCTCGCTCAGCGGCGCGCGCAAGATCTGCGCACGACACGAAAGACAATGGATGACTGACTGGTGACTTTTCTTCAGCACTCTTGGCCTTGAGCCACGACGTCGATGGGCAACGGGCGCGCGCAAAGCTCCACCCGCATCTCTCGCCGCGTGCTACGCCCAACTGGTATCCCACATGATGGGGCACATGACCGTGCTATACTAGTTGCCTCAGTCAAGCTCGCCAGCCCATGTGGGCCACCCAGCGCGCTAATGCACAAGACTGCGTTATCCCACATATTGGGATTGATGTTCTGTGACCCAGAGACGCTGTAGATGCTGGCATGCCTCCTCGGGGGATCTCTCCACGAGAATGTCTCGTGGTATCTACAGCTGCATATACTACTGCTGCTCCTCGCCGCGCCGGAAGATCACTGAAGCTCTCGGCCCATGGGCGCCGCGTGCAAGATAACCATCACTCCGAGCAACCACGCCCAAATTCCCTGCGAGATCTGGCCGATGTGCGCGTGCATCCCTGGCGCTGCTGAACTGACCTCTGCTTGCTCCCTTGGCGTTGCACGGATACCAAGTCCATTCTTATGATACTCGAGCGTTGCCTTCTCCGTGTTCTTGGTAAGGATGCCAGCGGCATTCTCCTTCGTGCCAACATTGATGAGTGCAATGCGCCCGCGCCGCGCGAGCTCCTGCAAGAACAAGTGCTTGATCTGCGCGCGCATCATCAGCTTGCCGAAACCCAGAAGAGCGGACGAGATCGCGGTCGGACAGCCTGACTCGATGCCCATCTCCACGTCGACCTCCCAGCCCATCTCCGTGAGCATCGACTTGGGCCCAATGCTCTCGGCCGCGCAAGTGCCCATGGCGTAACCTTCAGCCTCGCCAGCGCTCGCGGCCGTCGAATCCCGCGTTTTGGACATCAGCCGCGAGACACTCTG